AGTTGGGAAGGAAACGACAGGGCAGTAATCACTAGTAATCCTTTGCTGCTGAAGTAAGATATAGAAAATAACAGCAGCCTCTGTTAACATAATGGGGCCTCCCAGGTGGCACAAAGAATCCTCCTGCCAATGCAGGAGACTTAGATGCAAGTTTGATCCTGGGTCGGGAAGATCCCCTGGAGTAGGAAATGGCAACCCATTCTAGTATTCTTGCTTGGAGAATCCCATGGACAGTCCGTGCGGTTGCAACGAGTTAGACACCACTGAGCATGCATGTACGTATTAATGTAATTCTCCTAGAGGGGAGAAGTTTAGGAAAGTATAGTTCTTTCTGTTCCTAGGCAAGAAAACCACTTCTTATGGGAAGATTCCCTTGACCCCCAAGGCTGCACACACACCTCCATGCCCCCGTGGTTAACTCAGAACAGCACCTAAAACATTGTTACAATTTTTACTTATCTGTTTTGCTCCTTCACTCAACTTGGAAGTCCGTGACAGTAGGGGCAATCTCTTATTCACTGTTGTATCCTTACCCTGGCAACAGTAGATGCTTGCCAAATGGTAAGTGTATGTTTTGTAAACCACACGTGGTATTTTGTTAGTTCACGCTAGTCTGTCCTTCCACAAGGCTGAGTGGCTGAGCTAGGGGTCAAAGCCGCCTCACAGAAAATGTGCCGTGTTCATGGGGCAGTTCCCAGTTCTCCTGCGAGACTCCACACTGCCCATGCGGGCCCTCCAGCATCCTTCTGAAAGTTATGTGTCTGTGGGCTTATGTAAGCTTTATCTCTTCTAGAATAAAACTATTAAGATGCCATAATCAATTTAGGATATAGGATGAAATGTGACTGGCTATCAGATAATTGGGATTCACAGATGATGCAGCCTAGTCCATTCCAGTTATGGGGATGCTTTCTTGTCCCTTATTCATACATTTATTATGTAATTTGACTTTTTTTTCCCCATCACATAGTAATCACTTAACAGTGCTCTAGGGTGCTGGGAATCAAAGATGGAGCAGTTTGTGCTTCCAGAGCCTTCACATGGTGATCAGGAAAAGGGATACATATACTTCCAACTTCTTTTAGACTGGGTATTCTAAAACACTTAAATAAAGGGTTGTGGGACCACAACAGGTGGTAATGGTTCTGGGCATTGAAGGATGGACCGAAGGATTTACTAGGCAAGGTGGGGAAAGGGAGGGAGGGAGGAACGGGAGCACTTTGGGGGTAGATTTGCAAGCTGCACTCTTCCTCTTCTAGTGTCTGCAAAGCCTGTTCTCTGAAGGCGGGCTGGCCCTTCCCTACTGTGCCCTGCAAGAGGGGGCTGTGACGCTTTAGCTGAAGGCTAGGCCTGTCACCAGCACGTGGATTCATACGGCTTCCCATCTGAGCCAGGTACAATTAAACAGTCTAAAAAATAACTAAAACCAGAACATCTTGTGACTCTGGTCATCTGAATTTTGAGTCAAATATTCATGACAAATAAGAAGTCTCAAGTATAGAAATATTTTACAAATATAGTTTTATTACTTGGAAATACATACAAAAATTCAAACACAGCTAAAAACCAGTCGCCAAGCAGCGGTCCTATCCAACCTGTTTCAATGAACACATAAAACAGTCATAATCAGCACAGGACAATTTAAGCTCTAAAACAACGTACTGTCTTCAGGGTCTTTAAATATTGGGCTTAAAACTGATTATTCTTTACAGCTATTTAATCATTCCCCAACTATAAACTACTAACTGTAATGGTTTTGAAAACTGGGATGCTCGTCCATTTCTAGTTCTTCTGTTGCCTTCTGATCTCCATGGTGTCTCAAAAATTCCCAGCAGTTGCTGACAGAAAACACTTCCAACATCCAGCAGCTCTCTGTGATGCTGGAGCTTGGGCCTGAGAGCCCGAACTATTCAAGGTGGCAAAATTTTTACTTCCTATTTTTGCGGTCTTGCTTAGGTCATTTATTTTTTGTCCAAGCACACCAGGTCTCTTTGTCAGAGAAAAAAAAAAGTGAGTTACTCTGTTCTTCCTGATTGTTGATCCAGTATACTCCTTTATCTATTTTTCTTTTTGCCGTGATTCAGGTTTTAAAATCTTTTTTGGCAGTTAGCATTTTCTGCAAATTTAAGCTCATTCTGAGCTTTAACATATCTAACACTGTTTTTTATATTTCACTTTGCTCTTTTTGGGCCTTATGCCAGTTTTTCCTCCTTTTATATGTAATCTTTGACAAGTTGACTTCATCAGAGAGCTCTCCATGAGATGCTTTAGTTGCCCATTCTCTGCCTTCTTCTCTAGGTTCATACGACTTTTAAAAAATGTTCAGAATTTCATCTAAAGTAAGTTCACCCTTTTATGGTCCCCCTCACTACTGTAACTATTTTTTAAAAAAACTGGAAAAGGTAGTGGGCTGACAAGCAGTAGGGCCTGCTTTTAATTTTGGTTTTGCAACTTGACTGTGTTCTTCAGTCTAGTCTAGCATCCTTTCTTTCACAGCTGAGGAGCCTGAGGCCTGGAGTAGATTGGATATCCTCTGATTCACTGAGGTTAAGGGGAAGAAGTCTAAATTTTAAGTTCTAGATTCCTGAAGTTCTCTCTGTACATCCAGCTGGTGACAAATCCCTATGGGACCTCTTGGATTTGTTCCTCTCCATCTCTGGTGTCCCTGTCTTCGCTCTGCCTTTCTTCCTCCTCCACTGAACTCATTTAATCATCGTGAGACATCTGCTGCAGTGTCAGGAACACACTGACTTGCTTAAATCTGTTGATGGATCTCTGCTGGATGTAAGATACAGTAACCACCTCTTCCTTAGCTTGGCGCACAAGGCGCCACACAGTCAGCTCCAGCTTCCTTCCCCACTGTCCTAGCCACAGGCCGCCTCCCCACCCAACCCTGCACTAGCCCTGTAGCAAGAACTTTACTTTCTCTGATGCATTTCGGCTATTTTGCACTTGAGCTTGTTAACTTTACAAAACTGGGCACCACATCCTGATGAGCGGTAAGCATTTCAGGTATAAAAATTACCCAACGTCACTGCATATCTCATTCATTCAATAAACATTTATTGATGTTTGCTGTCCCGATACAGGCATAAAATTTAGTATCCCTGCATGCTGCAGTGGCTTCAAACTCTGGAGAAGACAGTGACAGCGGCAGGGCTACAGTCTGACAAGCCCCCATGTGCATAAATGCTAAATAAAGCCTCAAATCCACTTACTTTAACAAGCCACTTAGATCATATTGTGTTACCTTAGATCACATCGAGCATGTGTTCTTCAGGGCCTTTATTATGACTACTCTCAAACCAATTCTATGCAACCCAATTCTTAAGTGTTATCTTCTGTTTACTATTTTTTAAAAGCCAATTACAGGATTACAAATTTATTCCAGTCAATTGCAGATGCTGCTTTTGGTTTTGTATGCTTGCTTGTTTAATGTTTCTAAGTTTTCATTCTGACCACCTCACATTTGGTCCATCTTCTGACCTGAAGACTGTAGCACTGATTTCAAAGTTACTGATTAAAAGCAATGGAGAGAACAGAACTAAGGCCCAAACTTTAGGAAGCTCTGTCCTGCTTTTCCAGCATTTTCTATTAAACATGCCCCATACTACCTTATTAACATTTATTAGTCTAAATGAAATGATAGGTAAGTCATGCATAACAAAGAATTTTAGACTGATTTTTAAAAATAACAATCATTAAATATCTATTATAAATATTTATTTTAAAAGAATTGAAAGATGTTACATATATTACATACTACATATAATGGCACATATCAGCCTTTTAAGCTTAAAAATAATCTTTCCCCAAACTGGGATTGACTTAGACTCCAAGTATAAAATGACTCTTGGCCTATAGCACCAACCCAGGCCCAGAGGAAAGCCCATTTTGAACCTGTCCTCTGGCATTGGGCTTCCTGATATGACACCGAGGGGCTTCTCCCTCTGGTTCTGCTCCCTGGCAGTACTGAGGCCTGGCACAGGGATCCATTGACTGAACGCTGCAGGCCTAGGAAACCCGGGAATCTAGAGGACACAGGGTCCTCCTTAACAATTTTACAATGAAAAAAAATGTGCCTTATTGTCTTTGCTTTTGATCTATACAACTAGAACAAGACTACATGATGGAAGAAGGTTAGAATTACTGATATACATTTTCTCTGCTGGTTTTCCTCTTTGGAAATTTAAGTCTCATGATAGGAGGAGCCTTAAAAGTCATCTAGTTCAATACTGGTAATCTGTTCCACTAGTTATCTCCTTTTCCTCAGATTTAGGTATAATTCAAAGTTTTAAATGCCATCCATATGCCACTTTGTTAGACAAACACATAGAAATTTAATAACACTTTTCATTTTTTTTCTTAATTTATAAGGACAATTCCTGCCAAATGTTCTGGCTTATGGCTCTCCTCCTCTTCATAGTATGTTTAAGTTGCACATTAAGAATCCAAAAAATACCACTATGGAATTTTCATAAGCAATATCCAACTAATCAGTAAAACACAGTACAGTGTGAAAATTTTAATTTATTCCCCCTCCCTCCAGCCATCCAGAATATATACCTCTTTAGCTTTGAGAAATGTGAGAACTAAAAATACCAACAAAGTTGATCATATATAGAGAAAAGAATGAAAAACACATACTACACAGGAAACATCCCTAAGTCCTCCCTAGCCTAGCAGTGCAAGTTAATGGTATATATCTGGCAGTCTCACCTTTCACTTGATTTATAAAAATTTTACAGGACAGATTTAAAGTAAAGATAGGCCTCTGATTTTTATTTGTTTTTTTAACCCTAGCAGATTTTTTTAAAAGAGCCTATATTAAATGACAATACATTTTGAGTCGGGGAGAAAAAAAATTAAAAAACCCAAAACTTCTTTCCGTTTATTCAAAATAAAAATACACATAGAATTATGAAAATATAGGTTTACTATTTCCACCATGTAAGTTGATGCCGCTGTTTGAAAGGCTTGCAAATTGTTTCTCCAAGTTTTTAAAGCTCGTCTCGATCCCTCAACAGAGTATACCTATATTCACTGGGCGCTAGTTTCTGGAAGGAGCTCTCAGGTGGACTGCTTGCCACATCCTGGACTTCCTACATGGGGAAGAATAAAACATTTTCATATCAGTATATTTTACAGTTATATTTTAAAAGGAGTGTTAGATGCATGGTAATTGCCCTACAATTATTTATTAATAATCAGTAAACTATAGCTACTATGTGCCAAAGACAAGAGTTGAGTTTGAAATCTTGCTTTCCCTGTTTCAAATGCCCTTACTCAGATTCTTCAAGGCAGGGCTACCACAGAGCCATTAACTGTTGATCTGACGACAGTTACTGAGGTGTGGTAGAGAAACAAAACATCTGACACCTGGGTGCTTTCCTAGAATATTCTGTGGAGGCAGTAAAATCCTAAGCTGGCCAAAACCCTTCCATTTTACAAATAACTGCTAAGATGATTCAAGGCACCTGTAGCCTGGCAGGCGGCAGTCCATGGTGTTGCAAAAGAGTTGGACACAACTCAGCAACTAAACAACAGTTCTGCAGATAGAGATCTGAACGTCAGCAATGACAAAAACCTAGTTGACGTAAGGAAGAAAAACACTTCAATACTGTGAAGAAATTTCTGTAGTATTTTACTTGTATACCAACAGTACGTAGAAATATCCAGTGGAAACCTAAGAGTGATGTACAAGAATTTACACTGTGAGCTCCTCAAGAGTAAACGTGATTCTCATTGTTTTAATACTCCCTGTAGTTTACACAGGCACATAGGACATGTAGTACATGATTCACACGCACACACACACACACACAAAATGGCACACGGGAAGCAATGTATCCACAGACCTCACTTTTCGTACTTGGTCACACTCCCCTTCCCCAATACATTTGTTATTTTTTGCTGAGATATGTTTGGTTTAATTAATCTGAAGCTATATTACTATGAAATGAACATGTATTTTGTGCCTACTATGTATTAGCATGCAAAGATAAATACAAGAAGCTGAGTGTCTAATATAGAAATTGAAACAAATCAGGATAATACAATAATGGCAAGCCACATCTTTTCTTAATCTGATAAAATATTAAGCAGGCCTACTTTGGGTTACTGCCAACAAAGTTTTCCTGCATCTATAGTTGATTAATTATCAAAGAAAATCTGATCTCAGATTGCAAGGAAAAAAGCATGTTGTCAGACTCCTAAAAGTAACTGGTAACTCTGAACTTAATTTGACTCTTAAAAATTCACTTAATTTTTATTTTTCTTCAATACTTGGTGGTTCTTTCTGCAAAAACAGTGGACTGAAGTTCTTTTGGGCATATGCAGTAAGTGTTTTGGTATATATCATCTCTGGTATATATCATTCCCTCTCAGTATAATGGTAACAGACATGATATAAATCACTAATGCATTAAAATGCAAATTTAGGGGTATTTAACAAAGCAGGTACTTATACAGAATGTACAAGGTAACTTGGAACAGAAGAAAATTCTCAGGTTAAAAACATGTATCTGTATATCAAGCAAATATAAAATTGTATTGGTAAACAGTTGTCAAGCATTCTACATCTCAAACGGAAAAGCTGTGTTAAACTGTAAGTTCTGAGCGTTATGAATACCGTGGTGATGAAGGCTCTTAAGATATCAAATCACTATTTTCTTTATAGTGTGGTGGTCACTCTCTCTGCCACAGAGGAAGGCTTATGCAATTAATGCAATGCTCTGATTTCTTTGCTAGGCTGCTGCTGCTTAGTCGCTTCAGCCGTGTCCGACTCTGTGAGACCCCATAGATGGGAGCCCACCAGGCTCCCCCGTCCCTGGGATTCTCCCGGCAAGAACACTAGAGTGGGTTGCCACTTCCTTCTCCAGTGCATGAAAGTGAGAAGTGAAAGTGAAGTTGCTCAGTCGTGTCCGACTCAGCGACCCCATGGACTGCAGCCCACCAGGCTCCTCCGTCCATGGGATTCTCCAGGCAAGAGGACTGGGGTGGGCTGCCATTGCCCTCTCCGCTTTGCTAGTCTACCTGCTTCTAATTCCTACCTCCTACTTCTATATGAAGCTAACTGTATTTAACACTTTTATGGCCATTTTCCACCAAGGACTTACCAGACAACCTTTGTTTATATGATCAAGGAACTATTGTAATATTCTTAACAACTTTTCTGAAGGTTTAAAATTTTTAAATGAACGTAATTTGTGTATTATCTAGTTTGTTCAGAATTTTTTTTACAAAAATATTTGGGACTGGAAACTAAAGCTTATGCAAGAGCTTCAGAGTTTTTTCAAGACTAATTGAGAAAGAAAAAAAAAAGAGTTCCCACTGAGAAACAAACAAGAGTCCTACCTCTCCTGGGGCTGTATCAGTTGGGTCAGGACCATGATGGAATTCTCTGTGTAGTTTTCCAGAATGTAAGTCAAATACAAACTGCTTGAGTTTTCCAGGAATTCTAAAACCAAAGTAAAACAAAAATTTAGCTTAAACTATTTAGATGGACTTATTTCTATTTTACCAACTTCACAACATTAAAAACAACTTTTAAAAAAACCTACCTACAATCCCACCAACCCACCATAACTAGTAACACACAGGCCAGGTACATCTCAAACGCTTTCACACAGTTTGTAAATCGTGATGTCTAGCACTCAGTTTTGTTTTACAAAACTTGTTTTACAAGTGTAAACACTTGTTTTACAGAAATTTTTCTATGCTTACTAGAACAAATGCTTCAGAATCTATCAAGATGGTGTCCTAAGACTTATTCCTTTATGTTGGGCATTTATAAATTTTCCTTAATATATATAATTGCAAAATCTTAAGTTCTGCAAAATTACACTAAAAATAATAGGAGCTCAAGAGAAAAATAATGTTAGGGACTAATCACTTAACACTATGTAGGTCTGTCCTGAATTAAGTGAAGGAAGATTATATTGCAAAGCTCCACATCCATTTGGCAAAGTATTTGGAAGGCAGAATTTTAAGCCGTGGGAAATAAAGAGAACCACACAGAAAAGAGAGACTGAGGTGAGCACTTCAGAATGACATGGTGCTTCCACACAGGTGAGGCTTCTCCACCGTTCTACACGCTCATGACAAAGGAAATGAGACAAAGGCTGTGAAACAGAAAACAATAAACTGGTTACAAGTCAGATATGTAGGTTTGTAACCAGATTACTACTAAGAGCCTAGAAAAAAATATTAGCACCCTTCAGCCTCCTCCAGCATTTGATCCCTGGAGCATAGCAGTCTTTTTGTTTTTTTGAGATGCAAGGCATTCACTGCCAGCATAACAAATTTTATCAAAATAATCTAAACCAGGGTAGAGCTCCTTCATGTTTTTCTTAAACAGAGGGGGAACTTTCTTCACAACTTAAACCACATAGGCAGTTTCACCGGCTACCTTAACATTGTGAAAAGCAAAGCACTTCTCAAGGCCATCAAAGTGGCCTTCTTTTTTTTTAAATGTCTTCATACATCACAAAGACAAAGACATTGTCTTTTATGGTGAAAAAGCTTTCCTTAGTGGCTTCAAACTATTCTGAGGGAAATAACATGAACCAACATCAGTTCAGTCGCTCAGTCGTGTCCGACTCTTTGTGACCCCATGGACAGCAGCACGCCAGGCCTCCCTGTCCATCACCAACTCCCGGAGCTTGCTCAAACTCATGTCCATTGAGGCGGTGATGCCCTCCAAGCATATAACTCACTGTATATTTGACATCATACCTGTAATTACCAATTATGGTATGAGCACATCTGCAGGACAGAAACATGCACTGCAGCAAAACGGGCCAGTACAAAGCTAAGCAGATTTACACAGTACCAGCCTTTCTCTTCACAGTTATTTCCCTGAGTTGTATCTGATAAAGAAGGAGTGATGAGTTAATGTGTGGGCAAATTATGGTTACACAAAGTGGGCAAATTATGGTTACAGAACATCAATATTGACTACTGCTTGTCTACCTGTTTGTTCTCTGAGGTCTTCCCAGCACTTTTGTCTTTAATATTAAAATCTGTTTTGCTAATTTGATAAGTAAAAGACACCAGCATTTTGATTTCCATGTCTTCAGAAATTAAGCATTTTTTCCATTGTTTTAATTTCTGTTTCTGCTCATATGAATTGTTTGTCCTCTGCTGAGATCAATTAAAATTCATTATATTTTTAAATAGAAACCCGTTTCTTCCCCTCCCCCCAATCCATTGCATGAATTAAGATGCAGGTCTACAAACATTTTATTTCCTTCAGTAGAACTGATTTTTTAAATCACTGTTTTGGTTTATACCTGGCTTGTGTTAATATTACCAGTTTTCTTTTTATCCTTCCCTGAGGTCCTGCAAGTGCTGTTTCTTCTCTTCAATAACTCCCACTGAGATTAACAGCCAGTCACTTCATTGTACACCCATTTCGGCTCCCCACTAGCTCCAATGCAACAGAGGCCAGCAGGTGCCAAATGCACAGTTTACAAATACAAGCGGCCGTCAGGCAGCCGTATTGACAAAAGCCTCTGAAAGGGTCTCTGGTGCAGAAGAAACTGCACAGCACCAGGCACAGACATCGAGAGGATATCGATTTAATCTGACGTTCTACTGTCACCCACAGAAAGTGCTCAAATACACTCAGGGAATTGCAAATCTAGAATGTTTAAGACAAAGCCCTTACTAGTTTGTTATTTAAAAATGTTCAAAGATGGTCACACCAATACAATGTGAATTGCTTCTGCTAGTCAAGAAATAATTTATAATTAAATCTTAAGTGAAACAGATTCAATGTGTACACTCAAAACAGATTTTTCCCCTACTTGATTTTTTTCCCCTTTGTCAACATATGGAGAACTGTGAGCAAAAGCAAAGATGAGAGAGAGAGGATGAATGCGAACTGATGTGGTAGAAAAACAGATGACAGAGAGCTCTTATCTAGCTTGTGGCTAGAAATTATCCAGTTATCAGGTAACAATCAGTGAATCAACAATACACTGTCAAGAAAACAGACAACAGTTATCTGCTCAAAAGGAAGATAAACAGACCCTTACTTAATAAATCCGATTACATTGTCATACTTAGGGTATACTTTTTCTAATTAGAACCCCTAAGAGTTTCTCTCTCATCCTCCACTTTTTTGTTTGCTTACAGTATTTATTTTTAGGTGATGCAAAATTTAGACATGATGAAATGCACAAAACATAGGTGTATCATTTAAACGAGCTTTGACAAATGCAAATGAGGTGAGAAGTATTTTTATTAAAAAATTTACATACAGTAGAATTCATTTTTTAGGCTTAAGTTATATGAGTTTTAACATAAGCATGTAGCATCTTGTTACCACCTACACAAACAGGAAATAGAACAATTCCAACACTCCTATCTTCCTCTTCCCTTTAACTCTTGCTGATCTGATCTATTTCCATAATTTGTCTTTTCCAGAATGTCATGATTTTGAAATCGTGAGACTGGCTTCTTTTACTTAGCACCCTGCATTTGAGATTCATCCACTCTGTTGCATGCATAAAAATGTCTGTTCTTTTATCCACTGAATAGCATTCCATTGAGTGGATATACCACAACTGGTTTATCCATTCACCCACTGAAAGACACTGGTTCTTTCTAGACTTTGGTTCTTGTAAACAATGCTACCACAAATGTCTGGGCATAGGTTTTTGTGTGAACATAAGTTTATTTCTCTAGGTAAAATACTAGGTTATATGCATGGTGTATGTTTGACTTTTTAAGAAACTGCCAAATGGTCTTCCTGAGTGGCCGTATCATTTTGCAGTCCCACCAGCAATGTATGAGAGTTCCATTTGCTCCGTATGTCAATTATACCTCTATTAGGCTGGAAAAAAATGGGGGACATGTAATTTGGAGTGGAGAGGGAATTGATCCGTGTGGGTTGAGCCAATCAGATGTCTACAGAAGGTAGGCCAAGAGGTTTAAGGAATGCAATCAGATGATTTGATGAGAATTAAACAGTCAGAGAGAGTTCAGGCTAAGCCCCGTCATGGTAAATCAGAACCGCTTCCAGGCAGAAGTTAGAGCAGGGCAGAGGAAGAGCTGCTCTCCAGACAGGAGGCGGGAGCAGCTGCGGAGTGAGAGCCCAGAGAAGCGCTTCTGGGCCCCGGAGGAAGGGTCAGGGTCAGGGTTAGGGTTAGCACTCGCAGTGGTGCAGCCTCGCGCCCCTCACGCAGTTCCCTTCCGTGTCGTTTTCTTAACAGTGTTCAGTATAAGCCCCTTGGTTTTGAGCTTCACCGGGTGAGTTTTTTTGTTCCTTGAAACTGCAAAAACTTAACAGCAGAACTATCCAACAGAACTTGTGTGATGACCAAAAAATACTGTGTATCTGTGCTGTCAGATACAGGAACCACTGCCTGCTCGTGGCCCCTGAGCACTTGGAATGGATTTAGAGTACCCGATTTACATCATTTAAATTAATTTACTGTAAACCTAAGTATCCATACAGGGCTATTAACTATCATGTTGGATAGCACAGCACTGTGACTTTTGACAAAGGGTCAAAAACAAGAAGCACAATCAGTAAAAGACAAAGAGCCATTTCCCCCTCAACAAAGGGAAAATCACGACGGGGAAGCGTCCCACAGCACCGAAACTACCAGGGTGTTAATGAGGACGAATCAAGTGAAGTCCTGTTAGTAGCAGTGTTATTTTTTCATTGGAAAAACCTGGATTTCAAACAACAGAGGTCATTTAGACAAATCACGAAATAATCCATTCAAAGGCAAGCTATCTGGCCACTAGAAATAATGGAAAAAAACTGATGAATGGGAAGATGTTTATAATGTGTGGATAAGTTAGAAAATTTATAAAATAGCATGGTTCCAATTTTATAACACATACATATATCTAGATCTCTTGTGGATTTATAGGTGATTTTTATTCTTTGGCATTTTATCAACTTTAAGAATTAGCCACAAAGAAAATATTTTTATAATCAGAAATAAGGGACAAATTATATGCTTAACAGATACAAAGAGAGCAGACATCTTTGCCTGGTTCTTGATGTTAAGAGGAAAGCATACAGTCTTTTACCATTAAATATGATATTAGCTGTAGGTTCTCTGTAAATGTCCTTTTTAAGATTGAGGAAGTTTCCATATATTCCCAGTTTCTTAAGCATTTTTGTCATGATGGATATTGAATTTTGTCAAATGCTTCTTGTGTATGTTGATGTAATCAGTATATGCCTAATTACTCAATGATTTTTGAAGGCTGGAAGGAAATGGCAATCCACTCCAGTATTCTTCCTTGGAAAATCCCATGGACGGAGGAGCCTGGTAGGCTATAGTCCACGGGGTCACAAAGAGTCGGACATGACTGAGCGATTTCACTAATGACTAAATGCACCAGCCTTGCATACTTGGGATAAAGCCCACTTGGTTGTTGATGTATTATTCTTTTTTCACTAATTGCTGGATTCAATTTCCTAGTATTATTTAC